TGAAAGCACACCTTTGCATGTAGATAAATAGGTACCACTGCGGTAGGAAGGTAAACGGCGTTTCTGTGCACTCTGGCACTCATCACGGTGTCCTGCTGTGCCAGAAGCGGTTTGGCCATGCTGCCCACATGATCCAGAAAGTTGTCTGTGGACAAACGCTGGCTCCCTGCCTGAAAGCGAGATGAGCGCCACAACCCCATAGTTGCCTTTGACCGGACCAGGGGTCCTTTACCTTTTACCTCTTCTGCGAATGTGGGGACAATACCAAAACAAGGGGGAGGGGGGCGGCATGTTAGAAGGAATGAAGTGGATGCTATCCAAACAGGCCTTGACATATTTCCTACTGAAAGTGGTGGGGCTCTTATTCTGCTTTTGATGTGTGTGTTCTTTTATAGCAATCACTCCCCAATTTTGGGAAGAGGAACTGCAGATAAGGCTTAGCCATATGTTCCGACTGTTCCAATTTACCAGGAGCGGTCTCTATTTTTAGGAATCTGTTGCTGAACATAAGAAAAGCCTGCTGGATCAGGCCAATGACCCATCTAGCCAACCCAGATGCCTCTGGGAATATACTGCAAGCAGGACCTGAGCACAAGAGCGCTCTCGTCTCCTGTGTTTTCAAGCAGGAGGCAGTGGAGGTACAGGAATGCCAGCTGCTGGGACCTCCAAGTAGGGAGAATGTTATGGGGAGCAGGTCCTGTTTTCGAGTTTCTCATAAACAGTTGGTTGGCCATGGTGAGAGCAGGATGCCAGACTGGATGGGCTGATCCAAGAGGCTCTTCTTATGTACTTATGCTCTTAGAAAATGTGTTTTATCCCAGTGGAATTCAAGGGTTCATCTCCAGATCACACGAACCAATAGAAGAGCTCTTGCAGATTGCCTTTCCGTACAGGTCCACCCTACCTATTTCCATTTGAATTCAGATCTTGCCATTTCTATGCAGAGCAACTGTGAGTTGATTCATCGATGCTGGCAGCCAGCAGCCAAGATTTTGCACAACTCATTGAGGCAGCTTTCTTCTCTGCAACAAAAAGTGCTCATTGCTCTGATCCTTGGAAGGGCTGGAAAGGCAGAATTGCGCGCACACACACACACACACACACACACACACACTGCTAAAAAGATACAGATGCAGCTCAGACGATCCAAACAGGGTTAGGTGCATTTTGACACAGCCCAGTTTTCAAGGAGAACTTTAAGAGAGGCTCACACACAAAACGGCTAAGAACAGGGCCCAACTTGCACGCTGGAATTTGGCATATTGCTGCAGCATGGGCTCCTGCACTTGATTTCTTGCAGATGTTGCTCCGAGGCCCTCAGAATGGAAACAGCTGTCATCTAGACGAGGAGGAAAGAGCCTTTGGGTTTGGTGCCACACACAGCTTTCTTTGGGCGACTTCACAGATGGCCGTCACTCTGTCCCGAGACTCCACGGTGGAGCAACAGCTAACGTTAAGGAGCTGCATCTCTCCTTTCGCTCCTCTCTTTATGGGACATGGAATCTCTGTTGCACACAGACCACCCCACATTTCATCTTTCCTATTCTGCAGCGTTTCCCTGAGAAAATAACACATAGCCTCACTGGGCAAGTAAACAAAAGCTACTGTTATCAGCTCTCCTTAAAGGTAAAGGGACCCCTGACCATTAGGTCCAGTCATGGCCGACTCTGGGGTTGCAGCGCTCATCTCGCTTTATTGACTGAGGGAGCCGGCGTACAGCTTCCGGGTCATGTGGCCAGCATGACTAAGCCGCTTCTGGCCAACCAGAGCAGCACACAGAAACACCGTTTACCTTCCTGCCAGAGCAGTACCTATTTATCTACTTGCACTTTGACGTGCTTTCAAACTGCTAGGTTGGCAGGAGCTGGGACCGAGCAATGGGAGATTTGAACCGCCGACCTTCTGATCAGCAAGTCCTAGGCTCTGTGGTTTAACCCACAGTGCCACCCGCGTCCCTTCGGCTCTCCTTACAAACTGCCTATTACAATACCTGCCTGCCACCAAGAGACTTTCTTCTGTTACGACATACAGTCATTTTCTTAGCTGCGATTATCGCAACTCCCCATTGATGACCCCAGTGCACTAAATTGCTCTCTTCAAGCCCCTGCTGCCTTATGATTCTTTTTCTGCAAACCCTTTCCATTGAAGGGCTTCCTGCAATAAAAGCATGTCCAGATGTTCCTGCTTTCGTCTTGCTTTGATCGCAGACACTTTCTAACAGGAGCCAACCCTCAGTTTTGTCTGTAGAGTACAGATGGACCAAAGTGTGGGTGTGGTTTGCTTTAGCTTCCTGTTGTTTGGGATCCAATTCATTAACACCAGTGATTCACCTGTAGTATTTATCATAAGCCTGGAGGAATTCATTAGACCTTTCTATGACTGGCTTCATCCCTCCAGGCAAGATCCACATTAAGTCCCAGGGGATTAAGCCAGCTTAAGGTGGCCCAGGGCGAGAAGCCAGCTACAAAGGGATGCGTTAAAGGCTTCTTCTTCCATTCACATTGTCTTTTAATCCATGCTTTTAATCAATAGACTTATGTGGACTTGATCTCATGGCAACAGCCAATTGCGCCAAATAGGAGCACGAAAGATGGTATGTGTAGATGGATAATGTGTGCAGGATTAATATGTGTGTGTGTGTCTGTACACACACACACACACACACACACAGTGAGAGAGAGAGAGACAAACACTCGTTTAGGTGGTTTTCTGATAAGGTGACTTGATTATAATGACCCACAACTGGCCCACACTCAGGGACTGACTTGCCCTGTCAAAGGTAGCTGCCCTGGCCTTCTGAATTCACTTGACCAGCCAGTCTGTTTGGGCTTCATATAAGCAGCATTATACATCTTGTTGACCAACCATGGCACCATTACTTGGGAGTCTTAATGTGTTCGGTAGGCTGCACTATATGCTTATCTGGTAGTAGTTCCTGTTGAAACTCAGTAAAACTTACTTCTCAAGAGGCATGTGCAGAACTGAACTGTTGGCTTAGCCTGGCTTCACAGAATATTAAGACTATATGCAGCCTTTGTCCACGCAATAGTATCTGCTGTTGAGCTACCCATGGCATTAGTAAATTGTTTCCACTTGCCAACTCGCACATCTTAATCTGTTCTTCGTACAGATAAAGGATTCAACATGTTGCCAACTCTTGGCTGCTTCCGTCTTCCTTTGACTGACGCCATTAACCTCTAAAATTGCTATAGAAACTTTTATGAAGTTAAGGGTGAAATCACAGGCTTACATTTGGTATTTGGGAGGTTTCACCAGTGCATCAGAGAGTGACGGTTGTCAAATTCAGCACATGCATGTTTTTCCTCTCCTTGATGCATCGCCATGAATCTCTACACCTCTCTGGAATATGCTGATTAACACCAGTTAACGATCTGTCCCCAATTAACAATCTGTATGTAATTTCAAGAAGTAATTATATGTAATTATTGGCAATTATGGACTACCGATAAAGGTATTATGCATATGCAACTCCCTCCAAAGTACAAACCATTCCTTTGGTTATCTGAAAACAGCACATTAAAGATATCTAAGGGTTTTACAGCCTAATGCTATGCATGTTTACTCAGAAGCAAGTCCTGTTGAGTTCAACGGGTTTGCTCCCAGGTAAGCAGGCAGAGAATTGCAGCTTTATAGACAGCAGTCCTCAAATCATGTCTGATTGAGTCACACCTTGATAAACTGCATTTTTAAAGATCTTATTATTAAAATGGTCATTTAAATAACAAATGCATAAAATGTAGCTAGGATATGTACTTGTAGTACAGTTCAATGCAGGCTGAATTTTTCATATAAAATATTTCATAAATAAAATTTAGTGCTAATAGTAGTAGTACTAGTCTCATTGTTTTCCAAGAGGTTCAGTCACATTAGTTGCTTTGGGCCTAATATGTAATATGCCAACTTCTTGGTGCCCTAATACCTTAAAACAAACTTAAGAACTGATTAATTTGACCAGGGCATAAATCAGGGGTGGTTCTTCAAGTGTCATTGGACTGCCAAGCCTTTTCAGCCTCAGCCAGCATGCCCAAGGGTCAGGGAAAATGAGATCTGGGGTCCACCAATGTCTGTAGGGCCACAGGGTCCACCCCGGCCTAAATGAATCATGCTTATACATTTAGTAAACCATATCTAGGTTTCCCTCCCCTCTAAATTTCCTGTTTATGTCTACCATTTCTAATCAATTTAACATTGTTAACATGGTCATCATGGTTCTGTCCAATAAGTGAAAAGGCAACACAGGAAGTGGCAGTTTGTACAAACCATGGCTAGTTAACCATGTGTGATAGACAAAATGGGAAATTGCAGCATGTTTCCACTTGTGAGTGTAGGTCAAATGATTATTGCAGACCGTACTGCCATTCCCAAGATCCAGGGGTTATGAGGTGAACCTGCAGCCCACACAAGTTCCCTTGCTCTCTTTTATGTCATGGACAGCTTTGTGTGCTTAAGCTGCATTGAAATGCATTGGGAACTGTGTTCTTGTGAGATGTCAATGGGGCACATCAGAATGATAACAGACACTGTGGGTTCTATTCCACTGAGCGTAAAACGAGTCAAAAGGAAATAAACATATACCCCCTAATGAGATGAGAGCGAATAGAATCTACTGTAAAAAACACACACACCAATATATTTTCTGTTTGGGCCAATATGTCCAATATTCATCGAAGCCAAGAAAGTCTTTCTTTTTATACATCACCTTGTTTCTTTTTCTTTCTTTATTTTTTTTTGTGGAAAAAAAATCATAATTATCACATTCTCCTTATGCACAACAAAAAGATTATTAGCTGTGCTAGGGATACATCCGTATCTGAGATTTCCTTCCAAGTCACTGCTTTCCAATAGGCAAGGCCATCTGTTCCCTCAGCGTTACATGTACATTGATCCAAGGCCTGTTCCACAGTGGAGCTGGAGCAGGCCCAAAGACCTCATTTCTTAGGTCCAACGGGAGAGTCAGGGCTCCCACACCTGTCTGTTTGTTTGTCTGCCCCATTCCACTCACACCAAGTTGGGTTTTGCCATCTATTCCCATTGACTCTTGTTCTAACAGAGCCACCCAGTTCTCCACAGGTGGTGTAAGCTGGCAAGATCCTATTTAGCTGGGGGTCTCCTGAAACCCGTTTACAGCCCTGTAGTAAAAAGTACAACAACCAAAAGGGGAAAAAAGAAAAAAAAAGAATTTCCTTCTTTCCCGCTGTCTCATCTGAAAACAATATAGAACACATCTGGGTGTCAATCTCCCAATTGTTTAAAGCATACAGAGAAAAAAATCACATCCACCATAGCACACAATACACTTTGAGCCCTATGTATATTACTACCATGTTGAAGCTGTTGTTGCTTTGTTCTACTTCCAAAGAATGGACTCCATTCTACCCTGAGGATAGGCCCTTCAAACTGCCTTCGTAATGGGTTTGAAGTGTTTATCTCCCAAGGGTAGGCTTTAAGTCTGACATGATTAGGATGTATTCGTTTCATTATGAATTTCAGAAGAAGGCAGTGTTGAAGATACCTCTTGGTAATGAACAGCAGTTAACAAATGCCAGGAAACTAGAGCACCAGAAAACAATTCTATACTCAAAACAAGTTCATGCTGACACCACACAACTGAACCATTTACAACTGTTTTGGTCTATCCTCCCAAAAGTAGCTGAATTATTTCTTTTTTAGCGACTCCAGCCCTCTCCAAATAGATGTAAACTTCCTTCTTAGACCTGGGTTCTTTTTCCAAACATTTGGTGGTTACGGGTTTTGCTTAAATGTCGTTGGAAAAACAGCAACGTATTTTTTTATTTCGTTTCGGTAACAGACGCCTGTATTTGTTTTACAGAATAACATAAAATGCAAGTGTTAGTAGATTATTATTATTATTATTATTATTTAAAAGCAACCCTGTAGGCCTCCGCGAGAGCTAATGAATTTATAAGAGGCTCTTTTGCTTTTAGAGCAGCTGCAGAAAGGAAAGCCTTGCTGATCCAGAAAAAAAAATCTGATGGCAAAAGAGAAAGGGTTCTGAAGCTCTGTTCGTTTAGCTCTAGCTGAAAAGCATGATGGATAAGCATGAGTTTCCCAGGGACTCCTAAGATACAGAAATTCCTCTGATATTACAAAATACAAAAATATTTTTCTCCAAACTCTCATTTTCTTTGCATTTACAGAACAATAATGGAAATAACTTACACAATCTGGCAGAATAATGACCAAAAGCAGGTGATGAAAATGAAAAATCAAGAGAGAGAAAATTAACTAGAAGCTAACTGCTGGTTATAGAAAACAATGGCAACTTAAAAGATGAGGGTGAACTGTGTATTAAGTGGGTGGCAGCTACTTGTGGGAAGGAGGTAAATTTGTGACGATTACATGCTAAAATAAATTCTATCCCTCCCTCCATCCCCAAAATAAAATGTGCAAAACATATTCACCATGCCAACGATTATGACTATTTATAGACCCTTGTCTGTGACCTCCTTCTTACAGCTCCCAGCTCGCCAGGTATTTCCGTTACAATGAAAAGCACTTTTAAGACCTACAACAGTGCAAGTTGATGAAGTAGTTACATTCTCCAACACTGTGCTTGGGCAACGTGGTTATGCTATGATGCAGTTTTTGCTCTTTTGCCTTTTCCGGCTGTGCAACTGTCCTCGACCACCTAGCGTGGAAGACTTCGGCATGCTGTAGGAGCCGTATTTGTGAAGGAGCTCTTCGCCGGTGACGTACTGGAGGCGGCTGGGTTGCGGGATCGGTTCCCCGAGGAAGTAGCCTTCGTTGTCAGATTCGGAGGAGGAGGAGCACGTCGAGCACCAGTCGTATTCAGCAAAGTAGGGTCCCCACCTTTCGCTAAAGTGGTTCTGCAAAGCAAGGTCCGATACGGTCCTTGGACACTGGCCATACAGATTTCTCCGTGCGCCCTGCTCTGCCGTCTCTCGGCAACTTCTCTGCTGCAAGAACTGATCGTAGTCTTCCCTGGCTCGCAGAGAGGGCCTTTCTTTCAACTTGTAGCTCTGCTCGCTGGCGAGGTGAAGGGCGTTGTCTGAGCGGGAGCGCCTGGACCGCCGGGGCCTGTGGGGGCGATACCGCCGGTCGTCATCTCGGAGATTAGTTCGTCTTGGGGTGCGCTCGCTCATGGGGGGATGCCGGGCACCTTCCTGCCCAGCCAATTTGTTCCCTGGCATCCCACCGTCATAGTCAAAGCTCTGGTGCATCCTTCCACGGGACGGTGTGTCCCTGTACCCAATGGGGTTAGTGAGGTCGTGCAGGTTGGCTTCCATATCTTGGTACTGTTGAACGGAAAGTAGGCTCCGGACAGACTCGGCACTCCTGAACTGGACGGAGGAATTCAGGGTCCCCATGTTGCTCAGCTTCTCTGAGACATTCATTCCAGAATCTTTGCTTAGATCAGGCATGGAAAATCGAGAGAGATGCTCTTGCCGCTTGGCCCCACCATCCGCAGAGAGTCCTTTTGGAAACAAGGGGGAGGGGAAAGAAAAAGAATTAAAGACTGTGTAATTGTGTGTGTGTAATACATTACTGAGGACGTGGGTGGTGCTGTGGGTTAAACCACAGAGCCTAGGACTTGCCGATCAGAAGGTCAGCGGTTCGAATCCCCGCGACGGGGTGAGCTCCCATTGCTCAGTCCCATCTCCTGCCAACCTAGCAGTTCGAAAGCACGTCAAAGTGCAAGTAGATAAGTAGGTACTGCTCCAGCAGGAAGGTAAATGGCATTTCCGTGCGCTGCTCTGGTTCGCCAGAAGCGGCTTAGTCATGCTGGCCACATGACCCGGAAGCTTTACGCCGGCTCCCTTGTCCAATAAAGCGAGATGAGCGCCACAACCCTAGAGTCGGTCACGACTGGACCTAATGGTCAGGGGTACCTTTACCTTTACCTAATACATTAATGAATGTTTTTCATTACTTAGACGGTACAATGGATGGGGACTGGTATGATGGGGCAGGGGCTATTGGGTGACTGTCCCCATTGGGCTCCATCAAAGGAGGTGTATTTAGGTAGTCTGCACTTTGTGCCAATCCCTTGATTCCATTGCTGCCTTAGACAGCTGCTGGAAAGAGCAAAAGAACTCTCCTCCTCCTCAGACACCCGTCAGCAATGGCAGCCTCTAGGTACTCCCTGTTCCATCTCATTGGCTGCTCTTACCATGGCTGCATCTAAATGTTTATTTGCTATTGCTTTCTGTCTGAATTTTCATGCATTTCCCCCCAACTACTACACATTATTCAGGCCATAAGTGAAGACGCTAAAACCAAAATGAATTTTTGCAGCAATCTGAAAATTCAAAATATGAATGAGATTCTTCCTTCCAAAAAAACTATGCCACAGATGAATAACTTTTGGAATGGACAGTAACATTATACTGAAAATGATCAACATGTATCCTTATTCATCAGAATGCACCCAATAGTCACTTGAGAGCTGAGTAATTGAAAGCTACTGAAAACAATTCGTTCCTTCATTCTCTCAGTTGACTTTTTCATCATCCAAACAGAAACAGAGCCCTGGCAACAGCCTTACCACAAGCCCAAATCTAACATCATACTAGAAAATTAATTCTTAACTTAAAATACCTAACTTTTATGTAAACATAACTATGCTGTTTAACATCTACACAAAACCACTAAGTGGGCTTATCTGGAGTTTTGGAGTATGTTGTCAGCAATATGCTTAAGACACAGAACTCTACTTTTTTTTCCTTTCTTTTTTTACATCTGCAGGTGAGGCAGTGGAAGTGCTGGACCAGTGTCTTGCCTCAGTAATGGATTGGATGAGAGCCAACAAACTGAAGCTCAATCCAGATAAGACAGACAGTGTTAGTGGGTAACTCCCTACACCAGATGGGTGGGAGATTGCCTGCTCTTGATGGGGTTACACTTCCTCTGAAGGAGTAGGTTTGTAGCTTAGGGGTACTCCTGGATTCTTTGTTGTCACTCGAGGCTCAGGTGTCCTCAGTAGCATGAGGTGTCTACCATCAGTTTTGGCTGGTGGCCCAGATGCACCCCTATCTGGACAGGGATAGCTGAACTTCTGTTGTCTATGCTCTGATAACCTCTAGGTTAGATTATTGCAATGTGTTATACATTGGGCAGCCCCTGAAGAGGGTTTAGAAACTTCAGCTAGTGCATAATTTGGTGGTCAGGTTGCTCAATGGAGCAAGACAGTTTAAGCATATTACACTGATCCTGGCCTGACTGCACTGCCAATTAGTTTCTGGGCCCAATTCAAAGTGCTGGTTTTGACCTGTAAAGCCTTAAACAGCTCAGGACTGCAATACCTCAAGGAAAACCTCTCCCCATAGGAACCAACTTGGACCCTACAATCATCACCTGAGGCCCGTCTTTGCATTCCTTCTTCATGAGAGGGTGGGAAGGCAACAACATGAGAACAAGCCTTTTCTGTGAATATCCATGTACAAATTGAAAATTTCAGAAAGCAGCGTGAGAATTTTCATATGCAAATGTAAAGATTGGTCAATGGGAGTGATAATATTTCCTCAGGTTTTACCTCACGTAGATACATATGTAACCTTCTGGTCAGATGTGATGCGAGAAGAAATAAGTGATTTTCAAAAGGAAATAATATATTTCCTTACTGTGAAGAAGATTCAAGTAGTAATAGCCATTAGTTTGCCTGTTGCTTTTGCTATATCTGCAAAATTCATCTTAAGGATTAAAAATCCTGTCAGAATTTTAAACCATCTAATCCATTTTAAGTGTGCAGGGTTCACTTCATAAAAGCAATCAGAGCTTTCTGGTGACTCATGATGGAAAACAGAAATAGGAAGCTTCTAGAACAGGTGTGTGGGTGTGTCATATGGTCCATGTGATGCACTCAGTCTCCAATATAGTTTCTGTAAGTCCACAGTTTGGTCAAGTTTGTCAGATTCTCTCTTTCAACCTTTTTATGGTTTGCAGCTCTTGTGCTTTGGAAGACAAGCTTGAAAATCTGCTTAAGAAGAAAGCATAGGTTTCAAAAGTGTCTGACTTGCTAGTCCCCCCCCCCCTTCCTTTCAACCACTGTGATGAAACTTGTTCTTGGCTACAGCAGCAAAGTCTGAATGAATGGCTTTGAAAGGTTACTGCATGTATGCAGTATGTGAGAGATTTGAGAATGGTAATATCAGCACATCTGGAGTTATTGGAGATATTGACTAAATCAGCCTTAGATCCCAATATGCTGAGCGGTATTTAGCTTTCTGTTCATTTTACAAGCAAAAGGCTTGACCTTTATATACTTGTTCTATATTTGTACCATAGGAAGGATTTATGCCCCACCCCCAACTAATTGCAAGTCATTTGGAGCATGAAGATCCACTGCAAAATTCTTGCCATAATGCGTACCTGACCTGAGAACAGGCACAAGTACAAGTCCATACCATATTCGGATTTTTCACCATGGAAACTGGAAGTTGAAAAGAGGCCTTTTGTACAATGTGTATGTGATACGGATACGAAGAGGAGCAGTTTTGTTCCTGTCCAGGAGAGGGCAGTAGTGCACAGGCACACGAGGGACAAGGCATGATCCACTCTAGCAATGTTTGTGCAATACTTGTGGCGATAAACGTGAAAACGCCATGCCAACACACAGTAATCACAGGTCTGGCCTATTCAATACCTAACGGGCTGCCATCTGAAAGATGTGAGATCAAACCTCTGTTCACTTGTATAGCCAGTGGGTGACCTTGGCTTGATCCCACATTTTCCGGCTTCTGTTTCTCGACCTATAGCCCTTGTGGAATGGGAATTCAGCCTACAAGTCTTGGAGGAATTGCTTTGTGGCAAGGGAAGAAGGAAGAAAGAGTTGGGGACAACCTTTTAACTTCTTGTTTCCGAAGCTGTGGAACCCAGTAGGTGCTTGCTGTGATTCTTTGAAGATATTAGGGAGGTCCTGCTGCCACCACACACAAAATGTTGGTGGTGAAAAATAGTACTATAGTGGCAAATTGGTACTGTGGGAATATATGGTGATTAAGCACTGTTTGGGGATGTTGTCAGGACAAGATAGAGTCGCTTCTGACTCACAATTCTGTGCTTCTAGATCGGCTTTTACAAGAATCAGGTGAGCTCCTATATGTGGGACTATTAGGCCACATCAGCACCATATATTCAAAGCATTATTAAACCACTTTAACAATCATGGCTTCACCCAAAGCATTCTGGGACCGTAGTTTAGTTTATTCCCCTCACAACGCTGTAATTCCCAGAGTCCCCTGGGAAAATGGATATATTGTTAAACCACTCTGAAAAAATGTAGCACTATGAGAAGAATGGGGGTTTCCTAGCAACTCTCCACATTAACAAACTATAGTTCCCAGAATGCTTTGTGGGAAGCCGTGACTGTTCATGTGGCACAGTGGTGCTTTAAATGCAAGGATGTGGCCTTACTTTGAGGTGAGCCACCCACATAACATTAGCAGAGCTGAAGCCATGAAGTTCTCCCTTGAAAAAGACAAGTTCTCCCTTGAAAAAGACAAGTTCTCCCTTGAAAAAGACAAGTTCTCCCTTGAAAAAAGGCCAATCCCTTTAAAAAGCAGAAAATAGTGTTCGAGAAACGATCCAAAAAGACCTTTTCACTTTGAAATAGCTGCATAAATATTAATTAGGCATTGTTTTGGTCATAAATTGCAGGGCTGTCAACCAGGATCTTTTAGCTGATTAACTGTTTGGCTTTTAACTGATTAAATTTGCATATATTACATTCTGCAACATCTCAATAAAAAAAAAGCCCTTTTCCCTTGAGGATCCTGAAATAAGGTGACAGTTTCTCTCCATGAGATAACATTTTAAGAGAGAGAGGGCGTGACTCTTCCATTAGCCTGAGCTGACATGGTCCATGGCCAGGGGTGATGGGAACTGCAGTCTAGCAACATCTGGAGGGCCAGACCACTGGCTTCAAAATTTCTACCTTCCAGTAACCTCCGCACTGTTTTGTTTGCTGAGCAATCCTTGTCTGTTTCCTCTCCACTGCAAACCTCTGTTCCCTTGCAGTATTTTTGCCTGCACTGAGCAGGCACTCCAACACCTCAGCAACACATTCCCTGCTGCCCTAGTCGGTTGGCGTACTTCAGCTGTGATTTTAACCACACCTACTTGTTAATAATAGCAGAGCCAAGAGCTACATGTAAGCTTGTTCATTACATCAGCAGTACTGAAATCTTTCAACAAAGCATTGATGTAGCTGGGAGTTTTCATTGTCTGAACTCGGTAATCTTTTTTACCCCCCCCTCGTTTTGGAGAATAAACAGAATCCGTTCGACAAAGCGAGTGTGTTATGTGACTTAACTAGCATGCTTTCAAATTCTGCAATTAAAGCTTTAGTTGACTAATCCCACCGAGTGACTGCCTGAAACTTGCAGCCCCGTGCGGCTAAAGTTTGGGTTTTCAGGTCCAAGCCAAATTCTCGCACGAGTCTGGAACCTTTGGGGAACTCTGTGCTCGACGGTGTCA